TTATTCTTATCACAAAATGCTAAGACGCGAAATCTGATCCAGAAATAAAGTAACGAAAAATAAGGAAAAGTGATATCAAAGCACCATACAGGGCACCCTATCGAACATCAGAGTTGGTGTTTAGAGTTAGTGATCAATCATAGATTAGTGGATAACTGTCATCTGTGTTACAAAACTACCATTTACAACTGATTACCGTGATTACTAGACATTTATAGGAAATGTTCCAATACTTACAACAGTGTCTGAACATTGTTTGCTTACCATGTCAGTGACGTCATAGACAAGCATAATGCCGTGCGCCCCGCGGTAGAAGGATGCCGTGATGGTTTTGAATCGGTCCTGTCCTGCAGTGTCCCACTATTAAGTTGAAAATATGTTAAATAAATCTCACATTCGAACACGCAGGCTTAAACTCATCATTATTCCTTTATAGAGGGTTCTTTGTTATCAATGGAATATTGTTCAAAGATCGTTTTTATATAAGGAAATATTTTCACTGAAATGGTGAGGACTTTATCAGTTTAGTATTGTTCTAAAATAGTTATAATGAGTGGTATGACAAAGAGATGCGATCATTGACGAACTATTGAAATGAAATCAGCGATGTACTATTGTGTATCGACAATCGAGTGACCGGGGAGTCGAAACGATCTAGTGACTGTCTAACATAACCTTGTATACGTAGCTGGGATTTATTTTGACATGGAATACTGGTTTAAAAATACGAATAAAAAATGACGTGTTGTCACCAAAAGATTTTAAATTGTAACGTTTAAAATGGTTTCAAATGCATATTTCCTCCTTTTTTTAAATGATTTCTAGGTTGAGCACTTTAGACATGATTTTCATTCAAAGCAATATATACTCACGACTTGTAATCGGACGACTTTGTTATCAACGTCCACCGTTCTGATCTTCTACAACAGAAATTAAAAAACCTCTGGTCAAGCAATTTCATTGTGCGACTTTCTTAACGTATTGTACTCGTTAATGATTTAAGGGAGCCAGGTCTTTAATTGTGTTCCATATATCTATTTTATTGTAAATATTGTTAATCAAAAACGAAAAAAAAGACAACAAGCAAAAATCAATGCAAATTATTATTTCAACAAAGCACAAACACATTATAACTGCATGAAATCAAAGTTAATAACAATAAGTAAACTTACGAAGTCTACTCCTATCGTAGAGATGTAGGTGTCTGAAAATACGTCATCCTGAAAAATAGAGGCGAAAAATTTCATGTTGTGATATTAACTATTATAAACTCCATAATAATCTAGAAAAAAAAACTTCGAGTGTAGAAATGTCAGCATATAATATTTATACGATGTGATATAGCTCCGGGAATCGCATAAATGTGAATAAAGTTATTTGTACACGGTCATAGAATACCAACGTTCGAGTCATGCACAAAATGGCAAACACTCACACACGCAAAACATTAAACGGAGACTAAATTTAATGTAAACTAACTGTAATTGTACATATGTATCACTTATGTTATTAATATCATTAATAATCATTATAGATAGCCCGGATAGGTAGATGCGACTTTCTGTTTCTTAGAACAATAACAATACCCTTAAACCTGAAGGTTTGAGAACTTACCGCGAACCGGAGTAACAGGGAAGATTTCCCTACACCTGAGTCGCCTATCAGCAGGTACTTGAATAGAAAGTCATACTCTCTGCAAAAGACAAAACAAATCAGTTTGCTTTATCTAACATTAGAACAAATAAATGATTCATTGTACAAAAAAATAATCTACAAAATTTCTTATAAACATATTCTATGCCTTCCATTGACAAACACGTCCATATGTACAATAAAATATAAAAATGATGATGTCCATTACAAAGTGATAGACAAATCAATAATTACTTACTTGTCCATATTAATGATACTGGTGTCAAACGGCTGTTTTATTGGTTTGTCTGTCCTGTGCTCCGTCTGTATGTATTATAGGTATTACATGATTTGGCCCTGTTTATATACAGGCCTACAAAACCCGATGACATGGAACTTACAACGTTGAGTTGGAACATGACTCACGGCGGTAAACCTAAATATAGACATTATCCGTGTAGGGGAATCCCCTTTGTTAACGATAACAGACTATTTCATGTACACACAGTAATACATGTTGACAAACTATCGCGTATACACTATATATAGAGGATACCCGCTTTATGTGTTTAGCTATTGAATCCGATCAATATGCGTCTGACTTAATCGATATATATATA